TGCCCATTGCCCCCAGGGTAAAGAAAGCCTAAGGCACAGAGAGCTAGCTTGGCCCAGGAAGTCCTTTACTATTTGGCCCTTGCATCTTTCTTGCTGCCCACCTCCTGTCTTTGTGGTCCAGCAATACTGAATTACTTACAGCCTTCCCAAGCATCAGGCTGATCCCCTGTCTTAAAAGAACCCCCATTCATACTTGAGGTCACTTCCTCCGGGAAGTCTTCTTTGACCTTTGCTAGACTGGGCTAGGTGTTCCTTCTCCGTCTGCCTCTCTAAACTGTGAGTTCTGTAAGCACAACGATTGTGATTTTTAAATCTTTGACCCCCTACCTCCCAGCGCAGGGCCTTCTGGAACCCAGCCCTCGTCTGGGGAGCCCTCTGGGAATACCAGCCCTTAGCAGGCAGGCTCACTCCCAGGGAGGAGGAGAGAGAAAGGGGCTGGGCTATACTTCAGACTCCCAGTCACATGGCTCCCTTCTTCCCAGCAGGGAGCCCGAAGGAGCCAGAAGGAGCCAGAGGAAAATGATAGGAATGTCCGAGAGTTCACCCCCTGCAACCCGCAACCCGCAACGGAATCGCCTACTGCAACTGACACTGTGTTATTAGTAAATGAATTTCCTTTCTGTGACCTCCTTTCTTTTTATTCTCTTTTTTTTTTCATTTTAATCTTTATTGTATTTTTTTTCCTATTACCATTTAGTCCCTTTATACCCCCTCTTCCCCCGGGAAAGTCCTTTAAATAAAACTAGTGTGTATGCATGGTTTAAAAAAACACTAACAATATATACAGGCATATCGTGAAAAGCAACAATCTCCTGTTCTAACTCCTTCCAAGCCTAGAGGCGGCAATACTTTACGCTTTTAGCTGTTTTTCCCCAGGGTTCCTTCAGATCTCTCGTATCTCTTGAGCTGGCAGCTCGAGCTATTTCAGGCACGGAGCGGCCGTGCCCCCCCCCCCTCTCCGGCCGCTGGGACCGATGGCGGCCCGTTGGGAGGAGGTTAGCTCCTGACGGGTCTGGTCAGGCCTGCTGCCCCAGCCCTCCCACCGCCCTCACGTACTTTTCTGTTTTCTGTTTACTTTTCCTTGTCCGAGTACATTTTTAGTTTTTACATCTCGAGAGAGCCTACCCCCGGTAGTCATGCCTTTGTGTGTGAACTAGACCTTAAGCGCTTGCTTCTAAAGAGTAGAGTCTGGCAAAGGGATGCGTGACCTTCTTAATTAGGTTACTAAAAGACTCCGGCTTCTGTCTCGACACGGTCTCTCACCCTGCTGCTTGCTTCTTCAGAGGAAAGCCCGCTGCGGGGTGCGCTCGGTGGAGGGGCCCACCAGCAAGGAACTGAACCCCGCCAACAACCTCGCGAGTGAGCTCCGAGGCGGACCCTTCCCCTGTCTCACCCTCAGATGAGACACAGCGCCAGCTGCCACCTTACCTGTGGTCTTGCGTGAGACCTTGAGTCAGATGGCCCCGCTCTGCCCGGACCCCTGACCTGTGGAAATTGTGAGATGATACACTTCTCTTTTTCTAAGCTGCTAAATGTTGGCATCATTTGTTATACAGTGATAGGTAGTTAATGCATCATTATGCCATTTTTTTTTCTGTTCGGTCATAGAGTTTGTAATCCCCCACCCTAACTTCCCCTTCCCATACCTGTCAGAAGCAAGCAGGCTGGGGGTTCCTTCCATGCCTGGTTGTGCGCTCATATAATCTCACGCAAAATGTTGTGCGTGTGTGGGCCATTCCATTACTTACTCTAATTTTTTTTTTAATCCTCACCTGAGAATATGCTCAGAGAGAGGGAGAGAGAGAGACACTGATTGGAGAGAAACGTGGGTTGGTTGGCTCTTACGTGCATCCCCACCAGGAATCGAACCCACACCCTTTTGGTGAAGGGGACGATGCTCCAATGAACTGAGCCACCTGGCCAGGAGCCCTACTTATTCTTGAACAGCATTTTCTGTCTACATTTCTTTTTTTTTTTTTTAAGATTTTATTTATTTATTTTTAGAGAGGGAAGGGAGGGAGAAAGAGAGAGAGAGACATCAATGTGCGGTTGCTGGGGGTGGTGGCCTGCAACCCAGGCATGTACCCTGACTAGGAATCGAACCTGTGATGCTTTGGTTCGCAGCCTGCACTCAATCCACTGAGCTATGCCAGCCAGGGCTCTGTCTACATTTCTGACACAGGCACCCAAAGTACCCCTAGTGTCTGTCAGAGGTGTGCCCTCCTCCCAGTCAAAAGGAAATGCTAAGGAATCTCGTGGTTCACACAAGCAGTCAGCAGTGTCTGGCCAGGGTGCCGCATGCTTCTATTTGTTTCCATGGGATTCTGGGACCCAGCTTTAGGGTCCTAAACACCACAGAGGGCTCTGGCTGAGGGAGCTCGTGCTGTTCCCAGACCCACGTCCCCAGAACACTGGGCCTGCAACGTGAAAGTGCGTGTGTTGTAAACAAACATCCAGCCTCTCTCCAGCCAGAGGAGCGCTGTTCTTCCAAGTGGATGCTATCCAAATACTTTCTGTAATTCTTTGCAGATTGCCTGCTGCATGCACTGTTTCCAGGAACTGTGTCCTCATTCTGGGCCCCGCCCAAGCCCTGTTCCCTAGCTCGGGGGTCCACGTCTCAGGGCCGCACTGCAGGAAGACTTGTCTTGGGCCATACATTAAATGCGTCACAACACGTAGTCAAAAAAGATCTCATCGTGTTTTAAGTAAATTTACGATTGTGTGTTGGGCCACATTCACAGCCATCCTGGGCCTCGGGGGCCCACGGGCCGCAAGTTGGACACCCTGGTGGCCCTTCTCACAGCTTGGCCGGGACATTCCTTCCTTGGGCCACCCTGCCCCTTCTCAGACTGGCTCCATCCCTGCTGCTGCATGCCCTCAGGGTGCTTCCCCCCTTGGGTGGCACTTGTCATGAGAAGCTGGAACTGTTTCCATCTCATCTCCAACCTGGAGACCGAGAGCCCCATAAGGGCAGGGGTTTCGTCTCTCTCACCCTTGCTACCTCCCTAGGGCCTGGCCCCAGCCCCAGCACACAGTAGGCACGCAGTAAATACTTGTTAGATGGATGAACAGACAGGCTCTGAAAGACTGTTGCCTGTTTGCAAAATTCAAGTCCACATTCAAAGGACCCGAGTTTGTCGTCCTCAACAGCTGACATGTATAAGAGCTTCCCGAGGGTGCAGTGCTGGGCTCTCACTGTGGCCGTGTCCACTCCGACCACATGCGCTGCTCTGGGGCGGTCCCAGGGCCCGTGTTATGGATGACAGTGGCGGGTCTCAGAGCGATGAAATCTGGCCCGAAGCCACACCGCTTGGAGGCTGTCTGACTCCGGAGTTTAAATCTTCAACCATTGTGCAATAGCATTTTTTCTTATTAAATGGAAAAATGTTTTGGAAGTTTAAAAAGTACAGATATGTACAAAGAAAAAAAAAAACATCAATCTAGATCCCCACTGAGCAGAATTTTAATGAGGTTTTAAAATCCTGGCCTCTTTAATGCCAACATTCTCTTTTTTTCCCCCCACCCCCATATTAAGAACATCCAGCAGGAAGGAGAATGTGCTGAAGACCCTGACACCCAGACACCCCGACACCCCGACACCCCGACAGCCGTGTCTAAGGAAAGGCGGAGTGCAGTTCTGCATCTGGCCAGTTGGCGGGTGGCAGGTGGGCCAGGGAGTGCTGTGGAGAAACCGGTCACAGACAGGAGCCCCTGTAGTCCAGGGGTGTCAAACTCACTTTCACCAGGGGCCACGTCAGCCTCATGGTTGCCTTCAGAGGGCTGAATGTAACGTTAGGACTGTGTAAATGTAACTACTCCTTAACTGGGGGCAAGGAACTGGGCACTGCCACCAGGTAGAAAGAAACAAGGTGCTGGGCCGGATAAAGCGAGGTGGAGGGCCGGACTCGGCCCGCGGGCCTTGTGTTCGCCAGCTGTGCTACCTGTGCTCCGGCAACTTGCTCCAGGAGGAAAGACGAAACCTGTCCTCTGTTCTCAGCCTGGTAGCCAGGCTGGCCCCAAGGCCAAGTCCTCCAGGGCGGACACCCAGAGCTGTCGCCCCCTTTAGAGGGCCAGCCTGGCTCCTTCCTTCATTCAGTCCTCACCTTCCTGATTGTGTGAGTGTGAGTGTGATGCGGCCAGTGCACTGAGGGAACGGACAGTCCCTCGACCCTCGTCACACCCCAGAAGGTGGCACTGCCCCAGCCACCCCCCTCGCCCCACCCCCATACCCATCTCATACTTGGGACCTGCCTGGATCACTGTTTCTGGGCAGCAGGTCTGTTTACACCCCTCACTCCCTGTCTGACTGCAAGTTCCTCAAGGGCAGAGACATCTTTCTGCAGAATTTGCCCTATAAATGGTACTCAGGTAGACCAATGCAGCCAGACATTAACGATCAGAGAACGTGAAAGAAACGGACAGACATGGTTCCAATTCCAGTCTGCCACATTTTAGCTGTGCAACTTTGGGCAAATGACTTAACCTCTCTGAGCTTTGACTTATTCATTGCTGAAGTGAGGGCAATATACTCAGAGCTTGGTAAGCGAGGACTAAATGGGTTCATGTATGCTGAACAGCTCAGCACAGTGCCCGGCAAAGAGCATGCAGTGTTTCCAGACCATAGTGGGAGTCACGAGATCTGGATTCCGGCCTGAACTTTGCCAGAGTGCTAGAGCATGTTCCTTAACCTCATTGAGCCCAACCCCCTCAGCTGTGAGGAGGAGAAGACCAAAACACACACTAGAAATGGACACTGCCAGGGCCAGCCCTAGGGGGCCGCCCATCTGCAGAACACAGCGGCCAGCAGCCTGAAACCTTTCTCCCTCCACGCGGGCGGGTCCACAGCGCAGGGCTCTCTGTGCAGACCAACGGCCCTGGCCCTCCTGGGAGCCGCAAGGAGAGAGACAGAGCAAAATGTACTTCCCTGAGTCTGGCGGTGCTGTGATGTTTGTAATCAGGAAAGTCGCTGGGAACAGGATAGAACCTCGGGAAGGCTAATGTGGAAGCAGTTCAGACTTGGCTGGAATTTTAATGAGGGCCCACAGGAAGGAAAGGAAGGAATGGGGTGCTCTTATCTGGGGAGGAAAGGGAGGTTACAAGGAGGGGCTATGGCCCAGGCTGGACTGGGATGGCAATACTTGAGTATCATTTGGAGAAGTCATCTCCGCCCAGCCCCCGGGGGGTCAGGCCCATCTGGAGTTGTGCCAGGTCTGTGAGAGCCTCTTCCTGAAGTTGTCCAGGCAGCGGTCCCCTTAAACACTTGTGGGAACCCGGCTCTCCCGGGCAGGGGGCCTTCTTCATCTTTTACTTCGGCTTCTGCAGGTCCTCGGGCCCAAAGGAGACAGGCAGCAGGTCCTGGACTGTGTGGACGACATAGGTGCCATCTGGCTTGGTCAGGTAGACGTCCCACTTGGTGCCAAACTGGAAGGGAGATACAGCCAGCGTGAGGGAGGCAGAGTGGCAGAGGGGTTAGGACAGACCCGGGTTCGAGCCCGGCTCTGCCTGTCCTGTGCCACGACAAAGAACAACGCATACCTGCTTCCCTCCCTCACAGCACCTCCCTGACCCTCACAGCCAGAAGTGGCATGCCTGCCCCCTCCACACCAGACACTGCACCCGCATGAGGTCATCGTCTGTCCTTTGATGTGGGTGCTATTGTCACCCCCATTTTACTGAGGAGAAAACCGAGGTTTCTCAGGGTGATGTCAGCAAAGCAGGGTTTTGGCTCAAATCTGTCTCCCCATCTTTCTCCCACACGATCAGGAGCTGCCACCCGCTTGCTGTGTGACCTTGGGCAAATGACTGATGTCTTTGGGTCTCAGTGTCTTGACTTGTAAAATGGTTCCAGGCAGAATGCACTAGGCAGGAAGGAAGACGGGTGGAGAGTTACATCTGCAGTGGCAGAATGGAAAGGGTCCTGGAGTCAGAGTCCACAGACCAAGGCTCCAAGGCCACACCTGGCCAGGTGTGCTGAGGATTACCGACGGTGGGTGTACGGCGCCTGAATGCAGGGCCTGGCACACAGTAAATGCTCGGTTATTTGAAGCTGTTTCTACTGGTTGCTAGCAGTTGCTCATGAAGGCTCGGGTTTGCAGCCTGCTGTTTGCACACTTCCGCCTGAATCTTCAGGCTGTTACCAGGCACAATCAGTGTTCTGGCTTTTCAAAATTAATGGGCTTGGCAGGCTCTGCCTGAGGATATGGATGAAAGTTGAGTGACTTAAAGTGCCAGGCCCCTGGCCCCCAAGCTTCATCTGTCATTATTAGCACTTTGCTTTCAGTTTCTCCCCACTTGAGCCTTTTCCTTTGCCTTCTCCCACTTGCCAACATCAAATCTGCTGGGAGAAAACAGCAATGGGCAATTGGCCCGAGTCAGGCTCGGGAGCCAGGGAGCTAAGGTCCTGACGCGGTTTCCTTACATGGCTCGGACCTGCCCTAGGGATGGCCAGCCATTTCTGTCCCAGTGAGATGAGGTGCAGGTTGCACAGTCAGTGCCTTCCTGGTGGCATTGTGCTTCTGGGTTTGGGCGCCGGGCTCTGCTGCCTGTCTGGACTGCAGAGCTGGAGAGAGGATGGAGCTGGCCTGCTTGACAGATGCTTTGCGACCCCGAGGCACAAAAGCAAAATGGAAACAACCCCACCTCCCCCCAGATTTAGGCAGCTTCAACAGCAGGAGTCCTGGTGGGAGAGGCGCTCTGCAGAGCACCATTATGTCTGGTCCACGGCTGAAGTGACTCTGCCTCCTTTATAGACCGTGACAGCAGGCAGTCAGCTGGGAAAAGCTGGCTGTGCTGTGGGCCTGAGCCGCCGCCATGACAGCCAGCCAGCTCCCCACCAGCCCGCTGGTCCTGTCACTTCTCTGAGGAGAGGGATTAAGGACCCACACTTCCCTCCTGTTCAGCGTGGGGTGGGGGTAAAATGAGATGCTGTGCTTAGAGGGCCTGATGGTGTCACCTCAGAGCTCAGGGGTCGGCGGGATTCTTGAAGCTGGTGGCTTTAACCTTTTGGGGCCCTGGAGGACACGGACCTCTTTTACAGTCCACGGAAGCTACTGACATCCCTCTCTGCCAAGTGCGCATGTACACACCAGAAACTCCCACTGAGCCCGGATTAGGAACCTACCATGATGCCCCTTGGCTGGTGTGGCTCAGTGGACTGAGCACCGGCCTGCCAACCAGAAGGTCACCAGTTCGATTCCCAGTCAGGGCACATGCCTGGGTTGCAGGCCAAGACCCCAGCTGGGGGCATGCGAGAGGCAACCGATAGATGTATCTCTTACATGAGGTTTCTCTCCCTCTCTTTCTCCTTCCCTTTCTCTCCCTCTAAAAATAAATAAATAAAAATCTTAAAAAAAAAAAAGAACCCACTGTGGAATCCACTCTTTTGTCTCTAGAGCTGAAGAAATTCAGGCTTTCCCTCAAGATTGTCTTTGTGAAAAAAAAGTACATCAGATCCCTTCAGTCCCTTCTTAAAAGCATCCAGTGAATTCCCTGATTCTTTTTCCCAACTTTTGTTTTAATGTCCTAAAATAGGCTAACATGAGATTTATCACTTGAACCATTTGAAAGCGTACCATTCAGTCCCCTTTATCCTTGGAATGAAATGCACCCCCGTCCCGTGGCCCACAAGACCGTGTGTGACCTGGCTCTGCCTGTCCCCGAGACCTCACTTCCTGTCACTCACTCCCCCCCCCCGCCCCCCCACTCGCTGTGCTCCAGCCTCCTTGACCTTCCTGTGACGGGTCACACTCACTGAGGGTTTGGGCGTTCAACTGGCTGGTTCCCCCGCCTGGAAATCCCCTTCTCTAGCCCTCTGTCTGCCTCATCTGTTCTCACTCTCTGAATCCCCACTCGAATGTCGTCTTCAAAGAGAGGCCCTTCCTGGCCACGTAAAGCAGGGGATGGCAAACACATACCCGTAAAGGGCCAGACAGCACATATTTCAGGCCTTACAGGCCATAGGGTCCATGTTGTAACGGCTCACCTCTGCCGTGGTTGGGCCCACGCATCCAGGGACAGTCTGGGAATGAATGGGCGTGGCTGCCTGCTAATAAAACTTCAATAGCTGTTTAATAGAATAACTAGCTGTAGCCTGGATCTGCCCCTGGGCTACTGTTTGCTGGCTCTGATCCTGATCTAGAGTATTACCTGCTGTTCCTTCTGTCCCTGTTGACTCCTTTTTCTGCCTTCTTCTCTCTGTAGCCCTTCTCACTCTCAGGGCCCCTACTGCTTACTGTTATCTCCTTGCTTCTTGCTTACCCCCTGCACTAGACTAGAAAGTCTGTGAGAGCAGGGCCTGGCCTGTCTTTTCAGGGCTGTCTCCCCAGAGGGAGGAGACACGCAGTAAGTGTTGTTGAATGAAAGAACAATTCCCAGTTACGCACCCACGCACGTACGCACGCACGCACGCACCCACGCTCGGGAGGCTTTTGCGGTCAGCCAGGCTTTTTCGGTCAGCCGGGTGAGCACACGGGACCGCAGCTGCGGCTTCCGCACTGTGGCTTTGCTCACAGAGCCTGGGGAGGGTGGGGGGGGGGTGTCCAGGCCACATCCCCCCAAAAAGGAGAACTGCTTACCTCTCTCATGACTTGCCTGCAGGCCCCACAGGGTGTAATAAACTCGTCTTCCACGTCACTAGGGAGGCAGAGAAGCAAAAAGGGTCAGTCAGCTTTTCCTGAGACTCGGGCCAGTTGCTGATTGGCAGACACGCTGTGTCCTGGAGGCTGAGAAGCAGAGCTCCGCGGCTTCCCACCCTTGCAACAGGCAAGGCTAGGGGCGGGACCATTCATTTGTATTTTAATTTTTAATATTGCTTCCCTTACCATTTACCCCCCACACCCTCCTCCACCTCCACCCCCCCACCCCCGCCGAGGACTGTTATATTCATTAGTGCATTTAATAAACATTTAGTGGGTGCTGAACTGTCACCCACACCCGAGAGACACAAAGGTTAAGGAAAGTTTGTCTCTGGCCTTGAAGAGATTGCTCAACCCAATGTGTGGCATAGAAAACTGTCATTCTCAGCAAAATGCAGTAAGAATGCCTGGTGAGAGGGAGACAAGCTCTGCCTACAGAGTGAGAGAATATTTTACAGAGGAGAGGGCACTTGGCCTGGTCCTTGGAGGAAGCGTAGAGTTCGTAAGTCACCGTTAATGAGCACCTACTATACTGTGTATCTGGCACGCAACACATATCATTTCATTGAATTCTCGGAACAAGCTGAGTGTCAGAATTTTACCCGAGAGGAAGGAGGTTCAGGGAGATGAAGTAACTGGGGCGCTCTCCTGAAGCCCTGGTTTCCCTGTGTTGCAGGCCAAGAAAATAGCATGTGCAAAGGCCCCGAGGCACGAAAGAATACAATGCACATGAGTTCAAGAGAAAGCTGGGCTCCCTGCATTTGAGAAAGTCTGGAGGAGAGAAGCCTACCGCCAAAGCGCTGTCTCAGAGTTAAGGCACCTGCAAGCAGTGCTCAGGCTCCAGACTGTCCAGAGGGTGGTGCTTAGGGAAGGTGGACTCAACCCGAGGGACCTCCAGGCCTGCCAGAGCCCCAGAGAGTCAGCCAGCATCCCCTGCCATCCCTGCTCTTCTAGACCCATAGCTCTGTGATGGCTCAGAAGGTCGCAGGATTCCCAAGTTGGCTCTTGGTCAGCTCCTCCTTTTGCTAACTACATGGAACTTTGACCAGGTCTTTTTAACCCATGCAAGGCTTGCTTCTTTGCCTGTAAAATTGGGCAATTAATGTCATCCACTTTGTAGGAATGCTAAAAGATACATTGAGACAAGGTGTGCGAAGGACTTTGTAAGCTTTAGAATGCTACACACATACTCTCATGCTTGCACTAGTCACCAGGCACGTATTCCTTTAGGCTCTGTCAGCATTTCAGTCCCTTATCATGCACAGTTTTATTATACACTATGTGCTCTATCTACTAGTTTATAATTAATGTTCTCATGATAAATTAATAACTATTATATTGTTACTATGTGTCCAGAATGTGCCACGTACCCTGCAGAGCACGTTATGAGCATTATCTCATTTTAAGGGTCAGATATTCATTGAGCACCTACAGAGGCCGTGCACTTTCGGTGCTGAGGATACAGCAGTAAACAAAACAGGCCAAATTCATTGCACAATGGAGTTCTTGACTAGTGAGGGGAGCCAGCCAACCAACCAACCAACCAACCAAGCAGCCAGGCAACCAACCAACCAATCAAATAACCAGTCAACAAACTAGCCAGCCAGCCAATCAATCAAGCAACCAACGTGTATCAATTGGAGAGAGAGCCAGACCCTGTGAATTGACTAAAGCAGCAGAGAGGAGAGAGAATGGCGGTTTGCTGTTTTTACTGAAGCCTCGCAGTAACTCCCTTTTATACGTGCATGTTCGGGTCAAGAAAGGTCCTGCTCCATGGAAAGGTGGGTGCTGTCTGAGCACACTCCCTCCTGGCTTCAGAACAGAAGCCCACGGGAATGTGAGAGGGTGCAGACCCCCTGCCCAGGATGCACACAGAACCACACTGACCCTCGTGATCACCCGGCGACGGGTGCTGCGGTCAGAGCCTCTCATGAGCTCTTGGTGGTTGGACTCTTGCTAATTTTTTCTTCATCCCACACTTGTTGACCCAGAGCCTCTCTGTGCTGAGCAGGCAGAGGGAAGGAGCAACAAAGACCAATGGGAGAATCCCTGCCTTCAGGGGCCTTACCATCTGGAAAGGGGGATAAATCTACATGTGAATGCTGGAACCCAGCAGGACTGTGGCTAGGGCCATGGGAAAGGTGCTCTGGGTGAAATTCAGCCTCCCCTCCACAGCTGTGAGATCTGGCCCCTGCTAAGCTCTGGGCTATTGTTTGGTGACACACGTGGCCAATCTGGTGACATGCATGGCCAACGACAGTCAGCCACCCCTTGCTGCGCAGGCCAGCACTCAATTCGCTGAGCCACACCAGCCAGGGCCCTTCTCTGCTCTTCTCGCAGTGTTCCTGTGGGTCTCCAACGAGACAGCGGATGTGGAAGTGCTGTGAGATTCAATGCTCTATGTAAATGGCAGTGAGTCACTGTGATAACAAACTGTAAGCCAAACCAGTGGTTTGGAATTAGAGGAAAGAGAATCAAAATTTAAAAGAGAGAGAGAGTTTATTTCCAAATGAAGCAATCAGGGAAAAACATCCTGGAATTTGCGTTTGAGTTGTGCCTTAATGGACAGGGAGGATTTGTCTTGGCAGAAATGGGGGGCGTTTCCTATGAAGGTGAAACAAAGGGTAAACACAGGGTAATGGAATGCATTGCCTTGTTCTGAAAGGGAGGACAGCCTGTTGGACAAGGTGACCGGGAAGGGGCGTGGGGAGGTAAACATGAATTCCACTGGGAAGCTGGATTTGGCCCCGGGTTCGAAAATCACAAAATGGTGCATCCAGGCAGCATGTCTCTGAGAGATGGGAGAGCACATGATGCTAGTAATGGCTCACACTTAACATTGCAGCTCTCGGTGCCGGGGACCTTATGTGCATTGACTCAGTTAGACCCCCAGCAATCTTTATCCTAGAGGGGCTGTGCAGGCACTTTATTGTGTGCGTGTCACAGGCCATGAAAGGGGATGTGGCCTGCCCAAGGTCACATGGCTGGTAGGTGGCAGAACCAGGATTTGAACCCAGGATCTGTGGACTCTGCCTGTGGTAGTTTGGTAGCTTGCAGAAGGACTACTGATAATGTTAAAACAATAGTTTCAATTTATTGCATACTCTGTGCTGGCAACCTTTGGTTCACAGGCCCAAGCTCAATCCACTGACCTACACCAGCCAGGTCCGGGCTCAGGTTTGTGAAGCAACATGCCTGAGGTTGATAACGGAGCTGGATTTGAGAGCAGGTCTCATAACACCCAAGCCTCAACTTTTAACAGTTATCCAACATTCCTGCCAAGAGTAAGAGAAACTGAAAAGAACATACACTCCAGAATGAGCTGGGTGCCTTGGAACATTCCCTCCTAGCTTTTCCAAACTCCCTTCCCCTCTCCTGCCCGTGCTGGTATCAGGGGTTTGCTATGGGTTGCTCTGACCTCCGTCACACACTGAGGCCATGTCTGTCGGACCTGACAGGCTGGAAACTTACTGACTTTGAGGACCACAGCTAGGACCCCAGGGGCACAGGCTTATCTCCCCATTAGCCAAATCCCCTTCTGGGCTCCCAGCTCTCTATCTCACAGATCTCTGCGGGGCTCTCCTGGACTGTTCACAGTGGTGACAAGGGAGCTGGCACTTCCCATTCATTCTCTAAGTCCCTCCCTTTCACCCAGCATGAATGTACTAATGACTGCATTGCTGGCTCGGGGATGCAGGTGCAGGCTGTGTCCCGGGAGCAGAGCAGTTGGTGCTGGAAAACTGCAGGTGTTATGTGAATGAGGACAGTTGTGCCTCGGCCGCTAGCACTGAGCAGTCATGTTGAAAAGTAGGCAATGACCACGAGAAAACACCTTTCACTGGGAACCTTTCAAACAGAGCAAGGCTACCGTGCCATTAACCTTTTATTCACTTTGGCCTCTTTTCCCCAGAATATCATTATTTTCTCGGGTCAGCTTTGAAATTGAGCTATTTTCCTCCTTCTTCTTTTTTTAATAAAGTGTAATTCACATCCTGTTCATCTGCACAAAATGTTCCCAGCACAGCCTCATTGATTCCTCCCAGAGCCGAGGGGAGCCAGGAGAAAACTGGGTCACAGGGAGGCTCTGGGGAGCGGGGCCCCTCTCCATCCTCGGCTCCAGTCACTCAGGACGGAAACCTTCAGTAGCCTGGTCCACCTCGGGGCCAGACGGAGGCCGAGTTCAGGGTCTTAGTAAAGGAATGGGGGCTTGTTTCTGCAAATGTGCCCCACTGCCCTTGCTCTAGGTCCCCACGTTTCTGCCAGAAAGGTTCTGCAGCTGCCCCACGGTGAAGAGAGAATTCACTCCCACTGCACGACCCATGCGGCCAGGCGTCCCGAAACACCAGCACTTGGCCAGCCGTGCAGTCTCTTTCCCACGCCATCGTCCCCGCACCCTTCTTTCGCTAAGAAAACTCTCTCTCATAGACAATGCAGAAGGACACACACGAGCAATTCGCCATTAAATCAGAAGCATAACAGGGTCCAAATTATCGAAGAGCCCATTCACGTACTCAAATCCCAAAGCCCTGAGCCTGGGCCCAGGGCTGACGAGAACTCAGCAGGCTCCGGGCACTTGGAAATTCATGCTTAGGGCATGTAGCGGGTGTTGCTGAATGCTCTTGTTCAGCCGGAATCTGGACAGGAATCTCCTTACTTGGAACCATGACCCAGGTAGACCTGGCTGTCACCCCACCAGCTCGTTTTGTCTCCTGGTCCTTGGCACTTAGAGGTGAGTATTGTCAAGTGGAGGAGTCACTTGCAGAGTGACGGGTCCCAGCGTCAGCTGGAGGAGAGCAGGGAAGAGTGTTTGACTGCCCAGCACAGCATGACGCAATGGAATGAGCCCTGGGGTGAGGCTCCAGAGATCTGGTTTCGTCCTGGTTCTGCCACTAATTTCCATGAACGTTGTTTTGCCTCTCCAAGCCTCAGTGTCTTTTGCTATAAGGCGGGAGTAGTGACCACGAAGTCTAGGTGGCCAGGTAATGTGTAGGTGCCTCCAGGTTTAGGTTTCGGTGCTGCTATTCTTTTGCATCTTGGAGGGATTCTGTGGCACTTTGTGCTGTTAGAGCACAGACACTTGCCCTTGTCATAGAGTTGCCTTGGTTGTGGGTTGCTCTGTAGGCTCACTGAGGGCAGAGTCCATTTCTTATGTATGTACCTCCTTACCCTCGGCACTCAGCCCAGAGTCCCCTACAGGGCCTGTCACTTAGGAAGTGTAGAAGAAACATGTTATGTGAATGGATGAGTGAATAACAGGTGCGTGGCGGACGATGGCTGAGCTGATGAATGAGCATGGCTGTGACGTGGCTTCCCCACTCACCTGGCGACAGCGATTGCCTTGAAAACTTTGTGCCCTTCGGAGACAGCCTTCTGGATAGCCGTCCGTTCAGCACAGTTGCCCAGTGGGTAGGAAGAGTTTTCGACGTTGCATCCTGAGAAGAGAGGAGAACCCAGCGGTGTTTCCAGCAGAATCACTTTCTACCGTGTGTGCTGAATGAGACGTTTGCCCCGTTCTGGTGAAAAGAGGGACCTGTTACCCAGAACAAAGTGGGAAGAAGGAGAGGGCAGTTTGCCCCAAACCACTGGGAAACTGTGGCCCACGGGCATGGTGGCCCTTGCCAAGAACCTCCCACTCTCATCATTTCCCCAATGCCCCATCTTGAAGCCCAGCCTAGGAGCGCAGCAGGAAAACAGGACAGATTAAAACCCAGCCTCATCTCCCTAGCAGAGGTCAAGGCCAAGGGAGAAGCTGAGGCTTAATACAGGGAGCATGATCCCCAGCCCTGGGTCTAGGAGACAGAAGCCATGGGGGTGGGGAGGTGGGAGTGGTAGGCAGGGGTTCTGATTCAAAGATTGGGCCTGTGCAACCTTTTTGGTGCTGGTTACCAGCCATCAGGGTTCAGCCAAGGTTCTCTGTGAGCTGTGCTGCAAAAGCAACTGTCAAAACCAACAAACTGACAAAACATTGACACACTGTGCAAAAGGTGTGTCTGTGAGTGAGCACGCCCTAAGGCAGCCATGCAGGAGGCTGTCCAGTGGGAGGAGGAGCGCTCAGGCGGCACAGCCCATGGGAAACAAATCCTCCCCAGTGCCCCTCTCAAGGGTGACCCTGGGGGACAATGGACAAAAGACTGGTGTAGCCAGGTTGTCTGGCTAAGAAACTCCCCATTTAAAGGAGGTTGTGAGACCACAAATCACACAGGGTCTGGGCTTCCCTGGCTGTCAGATGTGTCACTTTTCAGAGCTTGCCTTTGTCCGTGAGACAGGGATCTTGTTTCCCAGTACTCGTTTCTTCCTCTTCCCTTCCAGTAATACAAATGACCCCCATTCCGATGTGGTAGAGGCTGTGTTTCCTAGACTCCCTTGTAGCATAGTGTTGCCATGTGACCAAATTCTGGCCAATAGGGTGTGGCGCAACGGGAGGTGGGAAGCTCCTGGATCACACTTGTTTTTGTAGAGATTGCTGGGATGGGGCAGGGCACCCCTGACCACATGGTTTTGTTGTTGTAGGGATGGACCGCAGCGAGACAGAAGGAATTTGGAGCTGAGTTGCCTATTTGCCCTGGACCAGCTGCCTACTCTAAATTTTTGTGAGAGAAAAGGATTTGTCATGTTTGAGTCATTGTATTTTGGGAGTTTTGTTATCGTAGCTTAACCTATACTTAACAGAAATTTATGTTGAAAGTGAAATGCAGCTGAAACAAAAAAAATGGAAAACCAGTGGCCTTGGCCTAGCTGTTGGGCAATGCAGAAGACCCACAGGCACAGCACGGTGGAAGGCTGGTGCCCTGGCTCCTCTGTGACGTGCCATTTGTGAAGCCCCATGCTGCAATACCCTGGAAAGCGGACCATGTAATCTGCCACCAGGGTTTCTCTACTTGGCATCAGAAATCTGCCCTGTGGTGAAGATCTGATCAAGGTGTTCATCTTCTCATCTGTTTGGGGCGCCTCAGGGGAGCCACCACTAAAAGAGGCAGCGGGGTTAGGCCAGGCAGGGAAATGAGTTAGTTAAAAAAAGGGTTGGCAACTTAAGAACGAAGCCCAGAAAGGACCGTTGGGTGTGATACTACTGTATGAAGGTGGCACGAAGCAAACAGACCAGAAGGTTTCTAAATTTTTGATGGATTTGGATAGCCAAAGAAGCCAAAGTTCTGGTCTCCAAGAGCCTATGATTGTTCCATCCCTCGGGAACCCCTGGTCCCCCAAAGAACACCCTCAGAAGTGAGCTGAGTGCTGTGTTCGCCCAAGGAGGACATACTTTCTCATACTCATTTCAGATGTGTGGCCAAGAGTGTAATGGTCAAGGAAGGAGCTCCCTGAGGACCACGGGGCAGGGGGGAGGGGCCAGTGGCCAAGACCATCCCTCGTGTTCACTCTCCCAGTAGGATCCACTGGAGTTTAGCTGGGCACGTGGCCACCCAGTGGAGACCATATTCCCAGCCTCCCTGGAAGCTTCGTGTGGTCCTGTAGTTTTAGCCAGTGGGACATGAGCGGATGTAATGGGTGTGACTTCTAGACGACATCTTTCTCGGAACATCGCTTGCCCTGCTCCATCTTTCCCTTTCCCAGGGGCTGGGGCGTGGATGCGATGGTGTGTGCAGTTTTGAGCACATGGAATAAGACCCCGCTCTGCGGATGGCAGAACAGCGAGACAGGGAGGAATCCGGCAGAGCAGAGCAGAGCGGTCCACGCGCCCTGGACCCCAGCCCGTCCCTGGTCTGTCACCTGGGAGAGAGACAAGCAGCCATCTTGCCCTCGTCACCGTATTTCTGTTTGTTTCATCAGCTTATTCTGTTTCTTAGCGATCACCCTCCCTTTTCCTAAGTCCGAGTCTTCGTTGTGATTACACAGCATTTTGTTCTTCCTGCAGTCGTCAAATTTGCAAGTTAGCTGGTCATTGTTTCCTGTTCTCCTCACGGAGCTTCCTGGCTGTTCATTATTTACACCAACAAGCTGGGAGTTAAATAAATCACTGAGACCACGAACCATCACTGTGACTCTCAGGAGCACAGGCACTCCTGTCCCCCTGACAGAGCAGAGTGGCTGTCACTAGACAGCCTGCCCCTCAGCGTGGGGCTTTGGGGCCAGTCTCCTGCTGGGCCGAGGGGGAGTGTGTTCACTCACAGTTGTGGAGGGAATGGCCGTGTGGTGTTCGGTGCAGACCAGTTTGGAATTCTACTTTGGGGAAAAAGGCAGATGTGCATACTGGTCACCAAAGGGTAGGCTATAGTGAGCCTGTATTATTCTGCCAATTTAGCACCTCTTCCTCCTTTTTTTCCTGGGGAATGGGCCTCACCTCATTCCTTAGCATGTAGTTCAAATGGGAGCTGCCATCTTTTCTCACGGTACCTTTTTATTGGTCCAAGGATGAGCACCTGACCCGCACTGGGCCAATCAGAGTTCTCTGAAACTAGGAGTGTGAGAGCCTGGGCCAGGAGGAAGGCCTGGTTTCCTTTTGTTATGGAGGAGACAAAAAAGTGGACCCTCAGAGGAATGGATAAGAGATGAGATGGGGGATGACTACAAAAGAGCCTCGCTTGGTGTATGTTGCTCCCGAGGCCCAGCTGTCTTCCAACGCTTCCCACAGGTCATGGGAGCCAACACACCCTTCCTACTTTTGTCTAAAGTAGTTTATGTGCATTTCTTATCATTTGCAACCATATAGACTTCAGTTAGTACAGCTGGGAAAGTGGCCAGGGCGTTGCCACCCTGAAAACAGTGGCTGACATTTATCGAACACTTACTTTGGCCAAGCATTTGTGCATATTCACTTGTGAGTGAGTCACTGTAGCCGGGAGAACAGGCACCATATTGCTCAGCCTCTCAGCTAGGTCTGTGAAAGTTAGCCCTGGCTGGTGTGGCTCAGTCAATTGAGTGCTGGCCTGGGAACTGAAGAGTCATCGGTTCAATTCCCTGTCAGGGCACATGCCTGGGTTCTGGGTCAGGCCCCCAGTTCAGTTGTGGGTGCTCAAGAGGCAACCAATTGATGTATCTCTCACACATCAATGTTTCTCTCCCTCTTTCTCCCTCCTTTCCCCCTCTCTAAAAATAAATAAATAATTAGGAAAAAAGTTAGTAAGTGGACATGTCTCTCTGGCACACCCCGGCCTGCCCATCCATTCCTGCCCTTCCCAACTTTTCTGCACTTTGACCTCACTACAGTTGGCTTCTGCCTCCCCAAATTAAGATCTCTGCCAGCCTGTCTAGCCTCCTGGCCCTGCCTCATCCCTGACCCAGGGAGACTTTCCCTATTGGGTTTGGAAGACGCGCAGTTAAGGCAAACGGCCAGACTGCAGAAGGTCTGGTGTCTCGGGACAATTGCTTGTGTCTGCGTTTGATGCTCAGAATGCCCTCACATGGGGAAATCTCCCTTCGCTGCATGTAGAAATTGTAATGGGCCAGTTAAGGGGAGAGAGAGATTGTTTTAGAAGGGAGGGCTCACACACCCCACTGCTCAAGCTGAGCTATGGGGAAAGAGCCCCTAGGCTCCATTTTGCCCTGGGACCCTGTGTCCTACTGGCTCTGGGAATTTGGGAAATGGACTGAACCTCCTTGAGACTCAGTGTCCTCATTTATAAAATGATAACAACAGTGCCTTCCTCATAGGCCTCTCATGAGAATGAGTTGCGATCACGCGTGTAAAGCAATTAGCGTAAAGTGTGCCTACAGGAAGGGCTGGCAGCTGCCAGCTGCTGTTATGAACTGCATGGAAGTCAAGGCTTTGGTGGTGGTAGGCCTGTGACATTGAGCTTTTGCTCCTTCTAGACCACGTGTGACAGTGACTCTGTTTCTGTCCTTCAGGCGCTTTGCAATCTTTTCCATAATTACAAGGCTCCCTGTAATCTGCTGCCAACCTGCCTGCCTCTTGGACCTCGTCTCCTTTTGCTGTCCAGGCCAATTGGCTTGACAGCTGTTCCCCACGGGTGCCAAGTACTCTCCTGCAGCAGGGCCTTTGCACGGGCTGTTCCCATGGCCTGGAACTCTCCCCTCGGTGCACAGGGCTCTCCTTACTCAGGTCTCGGCTCCCAGGTCACCTCCTCAGAGAAGTCTTCCTTGATCAGCCCATCTAAAATTGCTTCCTCCTCCGACTGCCTCTAATCCTCTCAAACCTGTTACACAGCTCTGACTTCCTTCACAGCGCTCAGCACTTCCCTGCAATGGATATGGATGTCATCATCATGCAGTTTCCCCCAGGACAGTGGAAACCTCTGTGGTCGGGGCCTCATCTGTGCTGTGCATTGCAGTGAGCCCAGGGCCCAGGACAGGGAGGCCATGAGGCTCTCAGTGACTAATACATGAGTCGAAGTTCCCACTTCAGTGCTAGAGCTCTGAGATATAAAGGAATAACTGTATCTGGGGCCTCCAGCAAGTTTGTTTTGCTGTAAGGAAAAAAAAAAAGAGGAAGCTAGCCCTCGGCCATGTAGTACCATCCTGAAAGACCAGGCAACTTTGTTTTGCTCTTAAGCCCAGAAAACAGGCTGTGACCTACCCGGACAGACCAGCTTTCCACCTGGTGTTGCCTTCTCTTATTCTGAAACACCCGGGGAGGGTGGGACGGCACCCAGTGAGAAATCCAAAATAATCGACCCAAGTAATACAATGAGAATAGTGCTATTATTACTAATTGTGTTCCTTTATTCCAGTCTTTTATTGCTTTTCTTCTGGGATGCAATGAGTAGTCTCTGCTGCTCCCCACCTCGTTTTCCTAGCCAGGTTCCGGACGCTCACCTGAAAAGACCGTCTTTTAACTCGCCCTTGCTGGCCCATCCACTCCCACCCCTCCCACGTGTGCTGACCTTTGACCTTGCTGTAGCTGTCCGGTGCCCCTTGGAATAGTTTATCTGCATTTTATCATTAATCCTGTTAACAACCCGGTAAAGCAGAGCTATTATAATCCCATTTTACGGAAGGTAAAAGCTGAGGTTGGGGGCAGGGATCCAGGACTTCCACCCTCCGCCTCCCCCCGTGTCCCATCCCCCCATCCCCTAAACCCCTGGCCTCTCAGATACAAAGGACTGTTCTTTTTCTCCAAGGCATTTCAGGAAGGCCTGCATTGAGGGGCTTTGGTGCTTAAGCAGGGGTGGGGGCGGATATCACCTAGACATCAGCAAGGAGAGGAGTCCACCCACAGGGGGCTGACTCAGACCCAGTCCCGCAGAGACAGCAGCGGCGGAGAGCACGGGGGCCCGCGCCCTTGGCTGAGACTGGAGCGGGGGTTCTGATGGGGGAACCCAGGAGTGGGGACATTTTACTTCAAGGTAACAGTTAATGAGCCTCGTAGTTACTGCATGTGAAAAGCTGTTGTTTCAGGAGCTGCAGGTACCGCCCACCCTGACTCCGGGAGACAGCAAACAGTTGACCTTAGTGATTGCTCCAGGAGCGCACACGCAGTCAGGGTGGCACCCGAGCTGCTGCCCAGGGCACAGATACAGAAAATCACTGGTTGGCAGATGAAGGGATGTTTGGAAATTGTTGGACTGCAGCTTTTATCTGATTAACCTTTTTCCTGAGGCCCAAACCCCTTCCCTACACTGTTGCCCCCCTTGTCAGAAAGGCTGGCTTGGAAGGAGCGGAGGGCAGTCTGTTAGGGTACAAGCCCTGTCATCTTCCCGGGTCTCTGGCCCTCTGAACAAAGTGCCCACACAGATTCAACCCCTGTCTCTGCTGGATTCAGCGATTAACCAGGACACCCTTAAGTGTCTCTATCCGATTTGCTCCTCCCAGAGTTCATTATAGGCGACCCAACCGCGTGGCACCCTGAAGGACAATGGCGCATACAGAGGAGGGATGTGTGGATTCGCTGGCCCAATTATACTGCCTCATCCTGACAACAGTGACTGGCCTTGGAATGTGTATGTGATTTGGAGATGGGCCAATCACAGCTCTTCCCTAGAATTTTTACATTTGCAGTTAGCGGGTAAGGGTTCTTTCCTCTCTGCTTCTGAGGCTATAAGAATGTAAACCCCCTGGCTGGCATAGCTCAGTGGATTGAGCTCGGGCTGCGAACCAAAGCATCGCAGGTTTGATTCCCAGTCAGGGCACATGCCTGGGTTGCAGGCCACGGCCCCCAGCAACTGCACATTGATGTTTCTCTCTCTTTTTCTCCCCGCTTCCCTCTCTAAAAATAAATAAATTTAAAAAAATTTTTTTAATATGCTTAAAAATAAAAAAGACTATAAACCCGAGGCTCTGATGCCTGGAGGGAGACCACCTTCAGGAGCAGAGAAGGAAACCAGCGAGCACCCAGAAGGACCAAGAAGGGCATGGTGGCATTCGAGTTCTTCATCCAGCTGTCCCTGAGACAAGACCTACCATTGTTCATTACAGTTCCGGCTGGTTTCTGTCATTTACAGCTGGAGTGTTCTGACTAATGCATGTGACACTTATTGTCCCTGTGGTGGCTATGACATCTGAAGGAATTTTCCATCCCAAGTGTTTCATGAGTGCTCAGGGCACTGTGTCTACTGACAGTGCGGTCGGTCCTGCCCGCCATGTCCCCAGTGTGACCTGGCTAGGTCTCCCGCCCCCTGCCTCAGGCAGTCTGCCTCATCCTTCCTCCCACCCCCGGGCCTGGGAATCCTAGACCCGCATTTCTTTCCTTCATGTCTCATACGGCCCATCCCAGGCCTGTTTCCTTTGTCCCCTAGGGTAGCTCCTGGATCTTTCCTTCCTTTTCGCCCCACCTGGTACTTCTCCCGTCTGAGCTGTTCATTCGTGAGTTCACCGAACCTTAACTGAGGACCTCTTCCAGGTCAGGCAATATGCTGGCACTGTGGAGCGGTCAGCAAACAGGACAGATGTGGTCCCCTGTCCCTCCTTCTTCTGCCCCAGTCCTCCTTGAGCGCCTGTCAGACTGACTGTCCTCAAACACCAGTTTCATGGCACTCTTCTTAATAGCATTCCTTAACTCCTTGTGTCCTCTCTCATCCAATCCCAGTGTCTCTCCTCGGCCTTCAGAAGTCCTCCACAATCTACCTCCAAACCACCACACCAGCATTTTCATCAGATCAGTACTGGCAGCAGTCGAAGCAGCCACCGTCTGTGAATGCTTCCTCTGGGCCAGGAACTGCCAATCACTGTGTGGGCATTAGCTCATTTGAAGCCTCACAGCCAGGAGTGAGTTTACATGTGGTCAGTGACCCGAATCAGAGAGGACCTTGGCTGCCCTACCGGGCCAGGCACACCAGCACTGTTCACAGACACGCCGAAAAGTGGGCATTGGGATCCTCCATGTACAAATACAAGCTGAGGTTCTAAAGGGTCAAGGGTCTTGCTCAGGGACACACGGCTGGTAAACAGGGCACCAGGATTCCAATCCAGGAGCCTCTAACTCCAGAGCCTTCAGCCCAACCCAGAGGGCCTCCCTCAATCCCCACTTGCTCTAGCGGCACCAGGTCCTTCCCTGCCGTTGAAAGAGTCGACGCTCCTGCTCCCCTCACTGATTCACTCCCACAGTCACTGGCTGTGGCTCCCACTTTGAGCCTGTGCAAGGGGAGGGACCTCCGTGGGGGCAGGGACTATGCTGTTTCTGCTCACTGCGCTATCCCCAGCACCTGGCACGTTACTTAGCACATAATCGGCAAATATTTGTTGACTAGATGAATCAATGAAAGGATGAAGAGCGAATGTGGAGGTGCTGGAAAAAATCAGTGGCCAATTCATGGGGCAGCATGAGGTGGCAACGGTGTGTGTGGTGGTGGTTAATGTTTAATACCCGTCTGAGCCACCAGGCCAGCCTGATGTCCAAACAACACTCAGTGGTTTTTTACTCTCTACAGAGCAGCAGACTTTGAGAGTCAGGGGAACTCTGGGTTTCAATCCCGGCTCTGTGGACTTGGACATTTAGCCTCTGGGAACCTCTGTCTCCTCCACTGCAAAAGGTGGCACCCTGCGGGGTTGTGAGGGCGAGTCAGACACCACTCGTCACTGTCCCTTCACGCACCAGCACTCGCTCGACGTCACTCTTCCTGCTCCGGCGTGTTCAAGGCCCAGGAAACTCATGAAAGCCACACAGAAACTCAAAAGACAAGAAATTACATATGCTAGCCCAGAGCGGGCAGGACAGAAGGGGACGTCAGCCCCAAGCTGCACCCACAGCTGAGTGGCGGAGCAGGTGAGTGGCTCACGCTGGGACGGGGCTGCTGGGGGCTGCTGATCAGATAGATAGCTGCACACGTGCAGGCCTCTGGCCCTTTAACAGCTGCTCCAGGCCACAGGGGAATTCTGGGCAGCAGGGCTGCGCATGTTCCCCCAGGCCCTCCCTGCCAATGCTCATCTGCCCGGGGGTGTTGAGGGCCGGCCTTCCCTGCCAACCCCACACCCACTCCCTTCCCCACTGTCCTGCAGAGAAGGCCCCTAGCTGAGCAAACTCCTCTGAATTTTTGTTCAAGAGAGTTTGTCTATCAAACCCACAAACCCAGGGAAAAGAGTTAAGGACACATGAGCGCCCCCACCTCCCCAGGCTGGCACTTACTGCTGCACTCAGACCATGCCTAGCTTCTTACCCCCAAGACCCTCCGCACCCCATTAACAACTCATCCTGTCTGGATTCCTTGCTTCCCCTCCCTCTGCCACCTCCCAACACAGAGGGCAGCAGGAGAAATCAGGGCTTGGGGGACCCCAGCCCTGGGTTCTGCCTCCAGGGCTCCATGTGACCTTGAACGAGCCAGGACCCCTCTCTGGGCCTCGGGTTTTTCACCGAGAAATGGGAATGACACCTGGGCTTTGGGTCCGAGGTGAGGACTTGCTGATACATCCTGTGGAAGCCTTAGCCAGGGCGGGACCCAGAGGAGGGCTGCGAGAGGACACGCCCCCTCCCTCCCAGCACACAGCACTGCCGCAGCTGCTGCCAGGAGTGCCGACACTTTCGGTTTCCGGCTCCCCTCCAGCTTCCTTCCCCGTCCCATCTCCCGCTTCCCAGTCTTTCAAGAATCCAAAACCCCTAGACTTGAACAGCACCTTCACCCCACAGTCTGGGACGCGAGGCAGTGTAGGGGCAAATGGCATTCTAGGGGAGGCTCAGCCAAGAGGGGACAGACCTGGCTCTTCTCTTCTGGAGACTCCCTCCCCCTCGCTGAGCATCCTGCTCTCACCCCCAAGGCTGTGGTGGTTGTGGTCGGGGAGCCCAGACGCCCTCCCTCGCCCTTACCTGAGAAGATCTTCCCTTCGCTGGTGAGGACAGCAGCCCCGACACGGAAGTGACTGTAGGGACAGTAGGCGAACTTCTTGGCCTCGTGGGAGCAGAGCACCAGCTCCTGAATGCTCTTGGGATCCAAGGCGGAGGCAGGACTCCCCTGGGCCATGCTGGTCTGTGGGGAGCAGCAGAGGAGCAGAGAAGGGAGCCCTCAGCTAGGCTTGGCTGGGACCTGCTATGAAGGCAGCTCCTCCCCCTGGGTGTGTCCCTGCCTAGAGGCTCCTGGCTGTGCAAGTCTAGGAAAGCCAAATTCCAAGGGTTGAAAACCCTGTTTGTTGAATGACTTCTTCTCTTCTTCGTTGAGGGGAGGAATGAAACTGAAAGGGCCGGACTGGGCAACTAGCCTGGTTCCTTGAGTTAGGAAGTGAAACCAAGTTACTTCTCTATTTTCACCCATTCTCCTTCCAATTCATCTGTGTCTCAACCCACAGTGAAAAAGCATTTTAGCCGAAGGGAACCTCTGAGTCATCTCCTAGGCAAAACAAACAGTGGGTTGGAGATAAAAGAAATGGGTGTGTGTCCTGGCTTCACCACATTCCACGTGTACAACTGCCCGCAGGTGACTTAACCTCTGTGTGTGCCAGTTTCCTTTTGCCTACGGTGGGGACGGTGATAGCTTCTGTCTTCCACCCTGTTTTCAAGGACAGGAGAGCTCTAGCCTTGGCGTGCAGCAGACCCCAGTTTGCATTCCAGTTCTACCACGAGTTGGCTACATGACCTTGGGAAGTCGATGCCACCTCTCGAAGTCACAGTTTCCCCCTTCTTTCAAATGGACACACTAGTGGCGTCTTGCAGAGTTGTCATTAGGACCGAATGAGGTGATGTGTGTGCAGTGATGGTGGTCGGAGGATCCTGGGACATCAGGACATGAGCGCTCTGTGACTCCATGACAATTGGATTAATGTCCTTCAGTGACTCGGCCAGGATTACACAGGGAGAGCAGACCACCAGGTAGGGCGTCCAGAGGCATCCAAATGTCCCCGGACCCCCAGCAAGCAGGAGTGAATCAGTGGTTTCTCTGAGGGCTTGGGTGGGAGTGGAGAAGGGGAAAGGGAGGGAGAAGGGGAAGGGCAGAGGGCGGTGGGTAGGGGGCATAAGTCAGCATCTCTGTGTCCTGTATGCTGACACTTCTGCACTCCGCAGCCTGGCCCCCGTGTCCTCGGCCGCGGGGAGCTCTCAGCCACACAGAGACTCGGCTGGACCTCTGCAGAGTTGGGCAAGTTGGCTTGACTACCGCCGCCCCCCCCCCCCACCCCTACCCCCTTCTTCCCGCACATCCAGGGGAAGGAAGCAGCTGGTTCCTCTCCTACTGTTGCATTTTCTTCCTGTACCGGTGCCTTCGGCATCTAGACCGGCTTCCTGGGCCTGAGGCAGGGTTGGCAGGGGAACCGGGGGAATGCCCCCCCCGCCCCCCCGCCTCTAGCCTGCACTGCCCAGCTTCCCAAAGGTCCCTCCCCCAAGGCTCCGGGAGAAGAAGTGAAGGATGTCCTGGGACTGTGTGTGCCCACTCGACGTGGGAGTACTTCTAAAGCTTTTGGGAGCACGTGTAGTGACAACTGGGAAGAGGGTTGTAGGGCCCTGCTGGCCCGCCAGGCTTGTGAGACACCTCCACGGGCAGCCTGCTCCTGTCCCCTGGCCCCGTCTTGACCCGTGCCAGTTCAGCCCAGCCCCACCCAGGCCTGGAGCTGGACTCCTTGGCTCCACAGTGCCAGGAGAACTGGGGTCACCTCCAGGCTAAGTATGGCCCTTGGCCCCTTCAGAGCTCTTACTCTGAACAGGGTCATACATAGGGACGATGCCCATTGCAAACCCAGAGTACGGAGCTTGAGGGAGAGTAGTGTTTCCAGAATCCTTCCAGAAGGGGCTGGAGCCATGGGGTGGGAGGGAAGAGTGGGCCTGGAAACGTGCTTAAAGCTAAGTTACTGATCAGTAATAGTAACAATCTTTTCTAAACACACTTTAATTTCCACTCTGCAGCCAGCATGTACCCTGGCTGGCGTAGCTCAGTGGATTGAGCATGGGCTGCAAACCAAAGTGTCGCAGGTTCGATTCCCAGCCAGGGTACATGCCTGGGTTGCAGGCCATGACCCCCAGCAACCGCACATTGATGTTTCTCTCTCTCTCTCTCTCTCTCTCTCTCTCTCTCTCTCATCTCCCTCCCTTCCCTCTCTAAAAATAAATAAATAAAATCTTAAAAAAAAAAGAAAAGAAATACCAACACATTGGTTTAAAAACAAAACAAACAAAAAAAAAAACACAAAAGAAAATTAAGAAATCCATTGCCCAACTCCAAGAGCAGGAGTATCCAAGGAGGGGCTCTGAGTGGCGGTGGAGATTGTCAAGGCCACAGAGCCCTCCCCGCCCCACCCCCAGGCCTTTCCTCTGTGAGGAGAACCTCCCAGAGTCCCCGTGTTAGGGCTCAGCCACCACTCATTTGCTGATTCATTCAGTGAACAGTTACTCATAATAACAACTCTTATCTAGACCTTTCCACATGCAGGGACTGTGCTAAATGCAAGATTTGAATGATTTCACGTAGTCTTCAGCCTGGGGTAGATACTGGCAATATTACTGCCCATATTTTACTGAGGACCCTTCATGATGAGAACCCTTGGGCGCATGGTGATCAGAAGTGGGCCTCAAGCCCCAGCTGTTTGCCTCCATCTGAACCCTGGGCTCTTGCCGGTCCCAGAACGTGTGGGGAGCTGGCATGATGGACATACGAGGGATGCTGGCCTTGGCATAGACCCAGCCGTGTGGACCCTCTTGTCACCAGCTGGGCACCTAGGCAAGTCAGCGCGTCGCTCTGCACCCCCTGTTCCTCATTTACATGACGGGACAGCACTAACCCGACCGTGGTGGCTCATGGTGACCAGAGTTTTATTCGGCTCAGGAGGGTTTTCCATTTCTTTTGTTTTGGCTTCTTGAGGGGAGAACTTCTGGTGGGCTGCCAATCACTGTGCTTCACTCCCCGTCGGGTACAGGCTTGTGACACAAAATGGCCAGTCAGAGAGTTCACCTTTCTGCTGAGTCAGCCAGAGTGTTGGTTTTTCCCCATTGTGGTTACTAGGCTAACAGGATGTGCCTATTGCTGACAGCTGGCTTGTGCTCTGGGTAGAGGGGCCCTGCTTGCAAAGTAAAGCCAGGTAGAGAGAAGCAGAGATGAGAGGAAAAGAACCCTGATTTCTCTCTGAGCATCTGGATCCAGCCATTCCTGAAGGCACACTTCTAGACCTTCCTTTAATTGATCCAATGCATTCACTTCCCACTTCAACTTGTTTGAATTTTGTTTCTGTGGCATCTAGAGGAACACACTGCTTCCTAGGATAGTTGTAAAACTCAAGTGAGATAATATATGTAAAGCTCAGTGACTGGCATGTGGTAAGTGTTTAACGCTTGTTAGCTCATGTCATAATGAGTACTCTGTGCCAGGCCCTGTGTGGGGAACTGGCGAATCAGAGGTGAATGAGGCTTGGCACTGGCCTTTCAGGGACAACAACTAGACAGACAAGTCCACAGACAAGTAGAAAACAGCCATGACATATGACGAGGTGCTGGGTGCCATGGCGATGATGGAAACTAACAGTCTGGAGGGAGTGATGGGTTAGTTGTTGGAAAAAGCTTCCCAGACTGCAGGAGGCAAAGAGGAGTCTTAAGGGGTTCGGAATAGGCCTCCTCAAGATGTGCTACTTTGTCATGTGGGTTATTTTTAGCTGAAGGCAATTAAGACCCTGTGAGCTCCAGAGAGACCTGAACCTCTCCCTTAAAGAATTTAAGTGTGGGACCTTGCCCATAATAAAAGTTAGCACCAGAAATAACTTCTTATGACTAGCCTCTAAGGCAGGGCAAATATCGAACCACTCAACAGCTGTTCTTACTCATCTGCAAATGACCCTCCTTCCTTCTGAAGCCGCAGGTGCCAAACTTTGCTCCTTAACTCAAGATGTCATGTACACCTCATTTTTGTCCATCTCTGAACCTCTTGTGTATGTGAGGTCTCTGACTCTGTCATGTATGCAGGGTTCCCGTAGGTACATATGTAAGTAAACTTGATTATTTCCTCCTGGTAATCTGTCTCATGTTGCTTTAATTAATAAACTACCTGGAAGAAACTAGAAAGGTAAAGAGATTTTTTTCTTCCCCCACAAGTCTTAAACAATGGGTAGATGTTCATAGTGAACAAGGTGGGTGTGATGGATCAAATTGTGTCTCTGCCCCGACAGAAACGTTGAAATCTTGCTCTGGCTGGTGTGGCTCAGTGGACTGAGTGTTGGTCTGCAAACAGAAAGGTCGCCAGTTTGATTCCTGGTCAGGGCACATGCCTGGGTTGCGGGCCAGATCCCTCACTAGGGGCACGTGAAGGGCAACTGATCAATGTTTCTCTCTCACATTGATGTTTCTCCCCTCTCATTGTCCCTCCCTTTCCCTCTCTCTGAAATCAGTAAGTGAAATCTAAAAAAAAAAATGTTGAAGTCTTAACCTCCAGTACCTCCAGCTGTGACCTAATTTAGAACTAGGGTCATTTCCAATGTAATTAGTCAAGATGAGGCCAGACTGGAGTACAGTGGGCCCTTAATCCAATGTCACTGGTGTCCAAAGAAGAAGATGGTCATGAGAAGACACACAGAGGCAGGGGGGACAGCATGTGAAGGTGGAGCAATGCATCTACCAGCCAAGGGGTGCAAGGCTTGCTGGCCATCACCAGAAAGTAGCTGACGGGCATGGAACAGATTCTCCCTCGTGGGCCTCAAAAGGAACCAACCCGCTGACCCACTGGTTTTGGACTTTCAGCCTCTGTCTCTGGGAGGAAGTAAGTTTCCACTGTGGTAAGCCACCCGGTTTGCTATGGCAGTGGCACAGGAAACTCATGCAGTGGGCATAGTCAATACTGTCAGTGTCCCCCACACACTGAGCCACCCACCCGGAGGGCACCTTTGGCTGTAGTGGGTAGACCCTGGACATACCCATGACTTTCCTACCTTAAGCTTGCTTTTGGCACAGGAGTGCATTCAGCCCATGCAGAGGGTAGGCTAGAAATGTTGGGGAGTTATCAGCCCCTAGAGGGATTCAGGCCCATCATATACCAAGAATTTTTAAAATCAGTAAGAATAAGATAAGCATCTTTTATTGATTTACTTATTTTTAAAGAGAGGGGAACAGAGGGAGGAAGAAAGGGTGAGAAACATCAATGTGAGAGAGGAACATCGATGGGTTGCCTCTTGTACATGCCCAGACTTGGGGCTAAACCCAACTAGGAATTGAACCAGCGACCCTTTGCTTTACGGAACTACGCCTAACCAACTGAGCCTTGCCAGTCAGGGCAAGACAAGCATCTTAACAGGATAGTAGGCAAAAGACTAGAACAGATAGATGTTTTATGGAAGGAATGGGGGTGGAAAGAACTTCTCTATCAATACTCAAGTCTTCAATAAAAATTTGGGAGTCTTGTTCAAGTAAGAACTTCGTAGACAAAGCGAGTAGAAGGTTAAGAGGCTGAAAAAATCTTTTTAATGGCTGGAACAATAGCAACTGGATAGTATATTGACTAGGTAGAGAACTTGTGGTACATCAACAAGAAAAGGGCAGTAAACTCTACAGGGAGAGGGACAAAGGGTATGAATAGGCAGTTTTCGGAAGGAAGGAAACAGAAATTGCCAGGAAGTATTTGCCCAACCTTTCTTACAGTCACAGAAAGGAACTTAAGACAAGATGCCTCTCTCTCCCCATCGAATGGCAAAAGGAAGAAGCAGGATGATGGTGGGTGTTGTCAAGATGAGGGGAGACTGGGTGCCTCACATGCTGCTGATGGGACGTGAGTGTGGCTGACACCCAGTGCTGCAGGACCGGGAGATGGGCAGGTGTACCATACCTGGTGACCAGTGGCCTAGGTAAACAGAGATACTCCCTCACGCACCTGTAAGAGGATTCATAGGACAGTGTTTTCTGAAAAGTTTTTTTCTTTTCACTTTGAGATCCCTCATTCATCGGGAATTAGTTTTTATCAATGCTGGTGGGAGGGAGGGATCCCTATGGAGGTCCGAGCATCCGGCACTGCCCATCAGATGTCCCTTCCTTTCTCTAGCTGTCACAACGCCAGCTGTGTTGGATTTTAAATGTTTATATGAGTGGGGTTTGGGACTCACTGTTATGTTCTATTGGCAATTCGTTTCACTTCTGCACCCATACCACACCCGTCTTTATTATCATAACTTCCTAATAAGTATTGATTTCTGGGGGCCAAATACCATCACTCTTCCCCCACTCCCCTTGGGCCTTTGATCTTCTATATATATTTTTAGAATGAGTTTTTCAATATTCTCTGAAAACTCTCTTATCTAGCCTCTGTAGGAATTATATGAGGTTGGAATAATCTGTTCCTTGATGTTTTGGAAGGATTTTACTGAAAAATCATCCCAAGTCTTACGTTTTCCTTTAAAAAAATGTTAAATTGTCAATCTAATTCCTTTGAATATTGTAGAACTATTCATATTTTCAGGTTTTCTATTGCTTCTGAGCTAATTTCAGCAAACTAGTTGTGTATGTGCGTTTAAGAATTTGTTACTTTCATCTACATTTTCAAAACTGTTGACATAAAGGTATGTGTGGTATTCTGTTATCACATTTGAAAATCCTGATCTATCAGTCTTTGCCTGTGACTTAGCACATGGTTGTTTTTTTTGTGTGTGTGTTCCATAGGTACAGAAAAACTTGTATATTTTAGATTGGGCATAAAGTTCTATGTGATACATAGAACTAACTGATCATGCTCCTCAAAAACACTGCCTTTCTTATTTGTGTTTATTTATTCATTTCTGAGAGAGGTTGTTTAAAATCTCCAACTCGACTGTTCATTTTCTATGTGTGTGTATACATATACAATATTTTCATGTATTCTTATCAGTTGTCACTTTCTATGTTTAAAACTAAATTGTTAGATGCAAATATGTTTGCCATTATTACGTACGAGGTCTGTCCTGAAGGTATCCAGCTATGTAATATGAAAAATAGAGACATTTATTGAAGAAGATATAAAATACAAGAAACATTATACATAGGATAATGATGTCTCAGTCCCCTTCAAAGTAGGCACCTTGGGACCACATACAGTTCTCCTAATTGCCATTGGCTACTTCTTGGTATTTTCCTGAGTCTCACTGATGGTCTGAAATCTCTTCCCTTTCAAAGGTGATTTTAGTTTTGTGAAAAGCCGGAAATTGCAAGGTGCCAAATCTGGACTATGAGGGGCTGAGTCACCTGGATGATGTGATGTTTCACAAAAAAATTCTGCATGAGACGTGATGCATGAGTGGGTACGTTGTCACGATGGGGCTGCCAATCACCAGTTGCCCATAGCTGCGGCCTTCTGAATCAGCTGAATCGTTTCTGCGGAGGAATGTTCAAGCTTAATGCAAAATGTGATGCAGATTCGTCGCCCTACTCACTCATTTGGAATGCTGTGGCTACACACTACACATGCTCACTCAATAGCATCTACTGCCCCCACTGACTAGTACAGTGAAGTCGTCATTGTTCACACATGCACATTCCAGTCCACTCTCCTTGGCTGCCAGGTTACATCGATGTCACACAAACCATTCCCTTTATATTAACAATGGCTGGACTTTCCAGACAGACTTCATACTTTTGGTTTATTGCTTATTGTTTTAATATATGATGTTCCTTTTTGTTTCTCATGATTAAAAAAACTCAAATCTTTTTTTGTGGTATTTATGTTTATCGCCCATGGATCCCTTTATTTTCAAAATTCTTAGCCTTTTTTGGCCTATGAACCCCTTTTCAAAACAATGTTTCCAAATGCATAGAATTATAAAGCAAACAAGTTGTACTGAAATATTATCGGAATAGTTCAAGTATTTGCGATATTATTTATATGTACTTTTAAATTAATGTATTAAATAATAAGATCTAACAGTAGGCCTTGGCTGGCATGGCTCAGTGGATTGAGCGTGGGCTGTGAACCAAAGTATTGCAGGTTCGATTCCCAGCCAGGGCACATGCCTGGGTTGCAGGCCATGGCCCCCAGCAACCACACATTGATGCTTCTCTCTCTCTCTTTCTCCCTCCCTTCCCTCTCTAAAAATAAAATAAAATAACTATTTAAAAAAAAAATCTAACAGTAGGCCTAATATAACCACTGTGACTTTAAAGTAGTGATAGGAGTAAAAGATATTTTGGGATAATGCAACAAGGTGATGTGAAAATATTTGTGATTTTTATGAGTGACAAAGTCACAGGTACTACTTATATTTCTGTGACTTGCCAACATTTATAAATAACAGGAATACTGCATTTTAATTAGAGGTTAGTGAAGATAAAGACATGTGTTTTTTCTTCCAAGTTCATGGACATGCTGAATTCCATCCAAAGACTCAAGACAAGAGCCCTTGCCTTATTTTCAATCTTTTGGTCTTTTGTTATAAGTGAGCGTGTTATAATGGACACATTACTGGCCTTAAAAAAGCTGTTTTGAGCCCTGGGTGGTGTAGTTCAGTGGACTGAGTGCCAGGCTGTGAACCAAAGGGTCACCAGTTTAATTCCTGGTTGGGGAGCATGCCTGGGTTGTGAGCTGGGTCCACAGTTGGGGGTATGTAATTGATGTTTCTCTCCCTCTCCTTCTCCCTTACTTCCTTTCTCTCCAAAATAAATAAATAAAAATATTTTTAAAACTCTGTTCTGAGACTCTTTGTCTTAACACTTCTTGTAGTAGTGTCCCATTTATACTTACTGTAATTATTGGTATATTTTAGTTTTTCCCCTGCAATCTTATTTATCAATATATCAGTTATAATTAGGTTTGACTTATAGAAAACTCCAAATAATAGTGGTTTTATTTATTTTTTAAAGATTTCATTTATTTATTTTTAGAGAGAGGGCAAGGGAAGGAAAAAGAGAGGGAGAGAAATATCAGTGTGTGGTTACCTCTCATGCGCCCCCTACTGGGGACCTGGCCTGCAACTCAGGCGTGTGCCCTGACTGAGAATCGGTCTGGTGACCCTTTGGTTCCCAGCCCATGCTCAATCCACTGAGTTACACCAGCCAGGGTGAAACAATGGTGGTTTTAAATAACATACAATTATACTTCTCTTTCAGTCTAAGGCTCCACAGTTATTATGGTCAAGATGGAAGAGTGAGGGAAGTATACAAAGGGTGTGCCTCCACTTCCATTTCATTAGCTTAAACTCAAGTATGTGGTCTCACCTAGGGGCTAAGGAAGCTGGGAAATGCTTTCTTTCGGCTGGGTACACCCGTGGCCTGAATAAAATCAAGGTTATTTTATTAAGGAAGCAAAAGACACTGCATTTCGAATGACTATGAGCAGTCTGGGTTTTAGTCATCTCACCACAGCTGAGTGCCCCGCTGTGGACAGCGGTGGCTCTGAGCCTTCAATGCGGTACCAGGTCTGGAGAGGACCAGCCTGCCATCTGGTGGCAGCTTGGTTACATTGGCTTCCTTTCATTGTGAAGGCAGCATACATTGGTCCTCCCTGGAGCAAACTTTTTTTTTTTTTCTGGCTATGGATTTGCATTCTCTGCCGGTCCTGCTTCTGCCAGCAACATCATTGGTGGACTTGCTAAGTGTCGTAGTAACCCAAATAGCATTGCGGCTGACTGGAGATTTCATTTCTCAGCCAAAGAAGTAAATAAATTGGCAGGTGAGCATGAGATTTACTGGTCTTGCCACATACTCTTATCACCAGAGTCATCTGTCTTTATGGGGCGGTGGCATGGCCTACTGGGACTCGGAATCATCCAGAAGACACCCTTGCATGAATTGGAAGTGTTGGCCAAAACTTGGCTTATGCTGTGCATCAGAAGCCAGTGCAAGATGATGTTTCTCTTTTCCAGAACCCATGAATCAGGGAACCTTGGGCTGCAGAGCTTACAAAATATGTGCTCCCCTCCCCAAGACTTTTGGTTCTGCTAATTCAGAGGCCTCAGCGTGTAAAGGAAGGATGTTTGCACCAGGGCACACCACAGAGGTCCCACTGATATGCAAACTGAGAGAGACATCTGGCCACTGCAGGCTCGTCGTGCGCTGGACCCGCAGAGGAAAAAGAAGCAGGGTGGTTCGCTGTTGGCTGGAGAGAGTGACTCTGGTTTTCAAGGGGGAAGTACACTTGCACGAGGGGAACAGGGAGACATGTGTCTCTGGATCCCACGAAATCCTCTGGGCTACGTTCTAATTCCATGGCAACCCAGTATGAGCAGGACAAACAAGGGCTCAGCTTCCTCCTGAGTGGAGCTCAGGGGATCCCACTGTGTTGAGGCCTCGGCCACATGAGGTTCTTGCTAAAGGCGAAGGGAAAGCAGAAAGGTTAATAGAGGAAAGCTCTTAGAGATGCTTCACGGCCTGTGGCAGAAATGTATACATTGATGGTGCTAACTGTTCCTCTCTCTTCCTCTACCACTCGTATGGGGTGGTCTGTTGCCGGCAAACTTTATGATTTTAGTGCATGGAGCACAGAGTACCAGGATGGGGTTGGGATTAGAGAAGTGAACATCAGCCAGACTCCCAGGGGTAAGAGCTGAATGGAGTAACTGTGGGGCTTTGGGGTTTTTTTGTTTTTGTTTTTGAGAAAAGGATAAGAATGTTTCTGTTTGATTGAGATACATTTGCAGCGGGCTGCACAATAACATGTTGTGGCTGCTTTGGGAGGTTTAAGAGGGAAAGCAGGGTGGGCGAGGGTGCTGAAGAACTAAGGAGTGAACTGTGGCGAGTACTGAAGACCACGCCTACTCAGCACCCCTCCAAACCTCCTTCCATCATAACCTCTTCTGCTTTAGAGGCTAGATGGCTAGACTCTCTTGCAGCTAGGATTTCCATGTCACCTGCTTCTGCCAGGAATGTGCAACAGCACCAGCAGGGGCAGGTGGAATTGAGCGCTGGAGGAGGTGGCCACATGGCTCTTCTGGAGGCACGGTGCTGGAGGTGTTTTGGTTCTCTCAGGCAGCTGTGGCGGAAGCCCTAGTGCCAGATCCATTCCGAGTCTGTTGGTGCTGAGCAGGCGTGTCAGCTGCTCCCCACTTTGGCAGCTTTCCTGACTACGAGTTGGACAGGGAGGTTCCCGAGTCGGCAGTGGTGGCAGCTGTGGCAGAAGTTCCTCTGCAGGCGAGTTTCACAGTGGCATGGGGGCTATTCCTGGGCATTGGGGGCTGTTCCTGGGCATTGGGGGCTGTTCCTGGGCATTGGGGGCTGTTCCTGGGCATTGGGGGTTGTTCCTGGGTGTTGAGGGTGTTTCTGGGCATTGGGGGTGTTCCTGGAATAGAGCCTGCTTCTTACCCCTCCTAAGGAATATGAAACCTACTGAGTTACCTCGTAAACCTGCCAGGTGGAATATTTTGTCTGCAATGGAACCCTGACTAATTCATTGCATTTTATTTCTTTGTCTTGCCCCACTCTTTTAAAAATTCGGGTATACTCGACATACAGTGTTCTGTTCATTTCAGGTATATAACATAATGATTTGATTTTGTATGTACTGCGAAATGATCACCGCAGTAAGTCTAGTTAACGTCTATTGCCACACAGAGTTAGCAATGCTTTTTCATGGTGAGAGTTTTTAAGATCTATTCTCTTAGCCACTCTCAAAAATGCAATACAGTTTTATTAACTACAGTAACCATGCTGTACATGACACCCCCAGGACTTGTTGGGTTTTGTGTGTGTGTGTTTTTTTAAGATTTTACTTATTCACTTTTAGAGGGGGGAAGGGAGGGAGAAAGAGAGGGAGAGAAACCTCCATGTGTGGTTGCTTCTCAAGCATCCTCTGTCTGGGGACCTGGCCCGCAACCTGAGCACATGCCCCAACTGAGATCGAACCGGTGACCCCTCGGTTCGCGGCCGGTGCTCAATCCACTGAGCCACACCAGTCAGGGCCCAGGACCTGTTTTATAGTAGGAGTGTGTACCGTTTTATTCCCTGCACCCACTTTGCCCACCTGCCCCCCAACACCTGGCCATCAGCAGTCTGTTCTCTGCATCTACAAGTCACGGTGCCTGGGTGTCCCGCACCCCCTCACTCACTCTGTCACCGTGCTCTGGCGAGACCGTGGAGACATTTAACAATGTTTGAATTCAGCCACGTCTCCCCACCTTCCCCACCACAGCCCTTGGCCAAGCAGCCGCCAGTCCCCGGCTGGACCTCTGTCTCGCTCCCCTGCCTCCTCTCTCACTCTCGCTTCCCATTCTGTCCTGTAAAAGGCGGCCTGAGTGAGCTTCCAAGAA